AAACTTTACACTTGAAAAATGGATTCACATACTGCAATATTCTCAGCTCTTTCAGATATGGTGTACCATGGTTATAAAAAGAAAAATGGTAAAAGAATGATGTCAACAGCTTACAAAACAGGTGCTTAGGCCTTTAAAAGAAAATCAAAGGAAGTAGTATTTTATTTCAGGTCTGTCACACTTTCTGAGTAACATGACTGAACATTTGTTTTTTATAATTTTTGGGTTCATTGACACATTCACTTTTATTTGGCATAAGAAACTTATTTGCTTACAACAATGAAGACCAGTTCATCCAATTTGTACTTTTCAATACCATAAAGCAAAAGAGAATCATAATAGTTGTCAAATAATACATCAATACATCCTCAACAAAAAAATTTCATTTTTAAAATATTTGTTGGAAACTTCAAACCTTTAGGAAACGTCATTAAAAAAATTTGGCAGATCAGCTGTTATCCGAGATAACACAACAAGGATTTTTTTCTATCAAATGTTCATTTATTATGAATCTCATTGATGTACAAAGAACAAATGATACCAGGCCTATGTAAGAGTGACCAATCTTGCAATCTATTTATACCATTCATACCATCTTTGCTCCAATATTGCTTTTCTCTTATCATAATTCTGCTGATACAACCGTAAACTGAAAGACAGACCTGACACTAACAAAGCAGAGGATAAGGACTATCTTGACACCAGAACTGCACCGCTGACATCTATCTACAAAGCATCCCACACGATTATCACTGTATATAGTACTGTTAATAGACTTCTATAAACACAGGCAAATTTATCCTTACATATACAGGAAACCAAAGCATACCTTCCAATTGTTTAGACCACAAGAATTTTTGCCCGTTCCCCATCCAAATATACATATGCGTTATGTGTATGTACTAGCTCCCTTATAAATTACAACATAAGGGCAGGACGCATCAACAATAGCAACTTATATTCTGCCAGTATTTCCATGTCAACCCCCCTGACTAGAAGGTCACCGGACAAATTATAAAATCCGAACAAGATGAAATAATTTATTTTTTCAAAAATAATTCCCCCCTCCCAACAATAATTCTCTTGAAAGCAACAGACCAAAAAGCCAAGAAAAGAAAGAAAGTTAACTACGAGCTAAAAATATATGATATCACTCAAAACATTCAATTTTGACAGAAAATATTAAGATTACAAACATCAATTCAAGCACTTATACCCACTCCTTGCACAGATTATGGACACATCAGCAATATCAAGGCAGATGGCCAAAATATGAACATATGGCCAAAGTGGATGATATGGAATCAAAACTAATTGAAAACTATAGTAGCCCAAACTGAACATATCCTCAAGATATACAGAAACTGTGTTATTAGTACATGTTAAATCCCCGAAACATATTTGATCACTGACGGCTACCAATTTGATTATCCACTATTGCACTCTATATGCCATTCTACTATTCTGTCCGACAAAATACAGGTTATTCTGTACCACACATTACTCTTGTTACTATTGCAGAGACAACAACCGTGTGTCATTTCTTAGCTTTTACAATTATCCACTGTAAAAAGAAAATGAACAAAGCCACTATTGCATTACTGGTAGCACCCATCTTCCACATATTTTCACACACAAAGTGCACTGGCTATGATGGTAATCTATTAACAGTAATACATATATTTATATACGCAAGCAAGTCAGATGTGAAATATTTCCCAAAATCTTCTAGAAAACACAATTCAGTGCAAAGATATAAAAGAAGTTTCCCAATCCTTGAGAGACAAAAAAANGAAATCAAGTTGTCCTCAGCACAGCAAATGGGGTAAAGAACCCTAACCTGATCTCAGCAAGGGACAACAACTGTCCTGAAATGTCAAATGTATTAGGACATTAAAAAACTGCTGCTTAATTCCCCACATGCCTGTTAATTAATCTGCCTAATTAGTCTTTTTAATAGGCATAGCTTAAATTCTTACTCCCAAGTTAAGTACTTCTGCATTGCGACAATTTCGCCCTGGTTTTAGTGTGAGGAAGTGAGCAGTTTCCGACACTTGCTGCAGAATGTGAATTATTATTTGTTTGCCTAGCTGGGGTTTAACACTAGTGTTGAGCTTTGGACAAAAATCTCACTGATAGCCAGAACCTTCCTGATTTAAGTATTTTGTTCTTTAAATTTGATATATTTTGTAAAAATTTAACACTTTGTAATTCACCATTTTACTTTCATAACATTTACATATCTTAACCATAGATGTAATAAGCATGACCTAATAAAAAAACTCCTTCCTCGTTAAGTACTGCAGTTAAAAGAAGTTTTATTTGGATTATGATTTAAAAAAAAACATTGGCAAATTGTTCCAAACTGATAGGGTCACTGTAAAAAATCTTCATAAAGCCTTCCTTCATAAATGTTTTGCTTGTTTACAGGCTAGAAAAAGATATTTTGGATTTTTCTACGAAACAAACAGCATTCTACGAATACATAACTTACATAGCTGAATTGTTGACAAACTGCACTATACTTTTCTTCAAATCAAAGAATTAAAAAGAAAAATGTTTTGTAAAAAAATCTTTTTATGGTTGGTTGAGGTCAACCCATAGTGCTGGTAAAGAAATATTATGCACAAGTGAGAGTGACTAACATATGCCTTTCAACAGATGTACAGGATAAGTTAATAGGTGCACTATTACTCTGAATTGTCCAGGTATGATCTTAAGGACCTCTTTCTCCTCTACTGACTACTGGATATTGGGGAATTAAAAAGAATCAATGACCCAAAAAGATGAGAAAGTAATGTCCTATTTCATATCCAAGTCCTTCGCATTATTGTGAATAAACTTAAAAGGGTCTGTCAACATTTATAAATAAATTTCGGTCATAAGCTAAAAATCGGATTACATAAATAATACATTCCTCTTTATACTGATATTTTTTTAAAATCTCAAGACTTTGAAAAAAATTTGGTAGAGGCAAAGGGGGGGGGGTGCCTCACCTTAAATCTATTTAAACTAATGACTTATTTATTGGGAGGAAGTAGTCCAGATCCCCCCACCCCTCCCCAGCGGCAGGTGGTAGTTTACCTCATAATTTTTCAACCTCTACTGCTGCCCTAAAAGGCTTGATTTTACCGTTGTACAACATCCCTTTCATTTCCACAAAGCAACTTTGTTCTGCTTAAAAATCTTAACAATACACTTGGTCATGGGGTTACTTCAGGACATAGAAAGAGCAAAATGGCAATATCACAATGAAAATCCCAAGTCCAATATAGTTTCACCATCTTAAAATCCGTAATTCAGGCCATTTTGGCCCCCCGAGGCCCATCTGCAAGGCACCTGGACACACTGTTTATTGGACGTGGAAGAATTAGTTTAGGTTAAACAGAATAGAATAGAAATCTTCAAAATAAACCTGGTAAGATTACCAGATGTCCGAAGCCTGGACAAGGTTCAGACATAACCAAAAATAAATTTTGTACTTGCAAGCAAAAAAATGATTGTGTGTACAGTGGCTATGGTATTTTTACTGAGCACATTCTTCCTTGACACAGTTTAAAAAAAGCAAAAATCCTCTAATGAAACACAAAGTAGAAAAAAGACGCCTGTCAAAATTTTACCCCATTTAAAAAATGGAAAAATCTCTTATGACAGGCATCTTGATTCATGGTCTTCAACATAACATTTTCCTTCCTTTTGAAAAAAAACAAACATTTGTTTATTTGTAGAAGCAGCAGATTACAGCAAAAGTGAAATAAAAATGAAAGGAAAAAAGAGCAAAAACTTAAATTTCCCTTTCCACTCAAGGTTCCTGATAAAGATAAAATGCCTCATAAATTCCTCAGGGTGGGAGCTGTCAGTGCACAAGCAACTAGTTCCCAATTCCTTTGAGCTACTGTGCAGTTGCCTTCCACTGAGCTTGTAGCATGCTTAGACCCACTGGCCAGCTGCATTCTTTAACACAGGTCGCAGCACAGCACAATGCTAGAAAACACTAGTCACACGTTGTTACAAAAATGAGACACAAAAAGGTAAAGGTAGCATGACAATTCTACAGATTCAGGTCAGGCCAGCAGTTCAGAGGTCACGGTACAACAGCTTGCTAAAAAGACCCAGGTCAAACAGAGCAGTTGAGAGCAGGTAATTGGGCATCATTGACACATAGTTAAAAACATGTTGAACATCAACAAAACTGCCGGGTGTGCTGTTTATAAAATGAACATTTCATCATCAGTTTTCAGTATCTTTAAGATTTAACAATTTACATCTGCATACTATATATTGTTTTTTAATATTTACATACATGTTCATCAGGATGACCTTGAAACTTCATAAAACAAAATTTCAACACTTTTCCCTAAATTCATTTAAGTATACCAAATTTCAAATATGTGTCAAGGATTACAGCATGCATTATAATCTCTAAACCCGATTCTGAGTTCTTAGTTTTAAATTTGCAAGTCATAATTGTAATGGAGACGGCAACTTGTAATTATCAATTTTGACGCTTATAATAAAAAACTTTACACTTGAAAAATAGATTCATAGATTCATGCAATATTCTCAGCTCTTTCAGATATGGTGTACCATGGTTATAAAAAGAAAAATGGTAAAAGAATGATGTCAACAGCTTACAAAACAGGTGCTTAGGGCTTTAAAAGAAAATCAAAGGAAGTAGTATTTTATTTCAGGTCTGTCACACTTTCTGAGTAACATGACTGAACATTTGTTTTTTATAATTTTTGGGTTCATTGACACATTCACTTTTATTTGGCATAAGAAACTTATTTGCTTACAACAATGAAGACCAGTTCATCCAATTTGTACTTTTCAATACCATAAAGCAAAAGAGAATCATAATATTTGTCATATAACACATCAATACATCTTCAACAAAAAAAATTCATTTTTAAAATATTTGTTGGAAACTTCAAACCTTTAGGAAATGTCATTAAAAAAATTTGGCAGATCAGCTGTTATTCGAGATAACACAACAAGGATTTTTTTCTATCAAATGTTCATTTATTATGAATCTCATTGATGTACAAAGAACAAATGATACCAGGCCTATGTAAGAGTGACCAATCTTGCAATCTATTTATACCATTCATACCATCTTTGCTCCAATATTGCTTTTCTCTTATCATAATTCTGCTGATACAACCGTAAACTGAAAGACAGACCTGACACTAACAAAGCAGAGGATAAGGACTATCTTGACACCAGAACTGCACCGCTGACATCTATCTACAAAGCATCCCACACGATTATCACTGTATATAGTACTGTTAATAGACTTCTATAAATACAGGCAAATTTATCCTTACATATACAGGAAACCAAAGCATACCTTCCAATTGTTTAGACCACAAGAATTTTTGCCCGTTCCCCATCCAAATATACATACGTGTTATGTGTATGTACTAGCTCCCTTATAAATTACAACATAAGGGCAGGACGCATCAACAATAGCAACTTATATTCTACCAGTATTTCCATGTCAACCCCCCTGACTAGAAGGTCACCGGACAAATTATAAAATCCGAACAAGATGAAATAATTTATTTTTTCAAAAATAATTCCCCCCTCCCAACAATAATTCTCTTGAAAGCAACAGACCAAAAAGCCAAGAAAAGAAAGAAAGTTAACTACGAGCTAAAAATATATGATATCACTCAAAACATTCAATTTTGACAGAAAATATTAAGATTACAAACATCAATTCAAGCACTGATACCCACTCCTTGCACAGATTATGGACACATCAGCAATATCAAGGCAGATGGCCAAAATATGAACATATGGCCAAAGTGGATGATATGGAATCAAAACTAATTGAAAACTATAGTAGCCCAAACTGAACATATCCTCAAGATATACAGAAACTGTGTTATTAGTACATGTTAAATCCCCGAAACATATTTGATCACTGACGGCTACCAATTTGATTATCCACTATTGCACTCTATATGCCATTCTACTATTCTGTCCGACAAAATACAGGTTATTCTGTACCACACATTACTCTTGTTACTATTGCAGAGACAACAACCGTGTGTCATTTCTTAGCTTTTACAATTATCCACTGTAAAAAGAAAATGAACAAAGCCACTATTGCATTACTGGTAGCACCCATCTTCCACATATTTTCACACACAAAGTGCACTGGCTATGATGGTAATCTATTAACAGTAATACATATATTTATATACGCAAGCAAGTCAGATGTGAAATATTTCCCAAAATCTTCTAGAAAACACAATTCAGTGCAAAGATATAAAAGAAGTTTCCCAATCCTTGAGAGACAAAAAAGGCAAGTTAAATCTCGGAAATAATAAATAGTTCTTATAATTGTTTTTTTATGATTTATTTTCTCTGTGCCCAAGATTAAAATTAGATACACGTGACAGTCTGCACATCCACCATACTTAAATCTTTAATGATCGAATCACCTTTCCAGACATCTTTTCCTTGCATTCCGCATGGTACTATTTGACACGATGACAGTCATCAAATCTTCAAAACTCTAGATCAGTGGAAATATGCACAATTTTAGCCGATATCATTTCCGTGCCACTATTATTCCACTACAGTATGAAGAGAATTTAATGGGCTCTCTATTTATTTACAAATTTCTGCATAACATTTGGAGGTCCTTCTTGGTTTTTATTCTTCTGTGAGAAAATCTACACAAAATATTTCTATCGAGTCAAAGAAATATAAAGTAAAAAAACATCCTGACAAATTAGACACCACCAAAACTGACATTAAAACGACCATTTTGGGCTACTTCTATGCCTACATTTCCTAGAATTAAAACTGTATAAATACATTTATTGAAAAAGACATTATTGGCAATCCAAACGTGATCTTTCAACATGACAACTTGTTGTTCCTCTATACACTCAACACTATTGGCAGTACAGAAAGCAAAGGACTTTACTACAAAAATAAACTTTACAACAATTTTTTTAAAATTTGAATCAGTATTGGTGGTGTCCATATAGTCAAAATTCGGTTGATGAAGGTCAGTACGGGAGATTTCCAATTCTTTTCAAGAGAAGGAATGTAAAATATACCGACTTCAGTTTCTCTTGTGCTATTAACTACAAATTGCTATGGTCAGACTGTTTCTTCTTTCATGCAGCATCATCATCTCCTTCATCCTCTCCTTCCTCCTGAAGTCAAAAAATTTTAAATGTGTTAGGTGAGAGAGCTGTGTGAGCGCAATCTAAATACAATGGTTGTGAAAAACCCTTTTAAGCCCAAACAGCCATGTAATTGCAGTAGTTGTAACAAAAAGGCAACAAGAATTGGGTAGCCTTGGAATTAATGCATTTGACCACATTTTTGAATTAGAAAATTGGATGAGACTTTTGTTTAAGAAGTTGAAAATTTGCATGATTAACTCAAAGACACAACAGCCTATATGGCCTGCCTCCAAGTGCCATAAGACAGGCCAAATAAAACAATCAGAACTTTCTGTCACAAGCTAGCCTGGTAAATAGTTCAATAGAAAGTGGGTTTCAAAAAGTGCCTTATAAGACCTGGCAGCCAGGTTTAATTTATCTTTTTTGGTCAAGAAATTAACACAAATGTTAACTGTTTATGTCAGATTCCCATCTTTCATTACCTCATCTCCTTCCACCTCTTCCTCTTCATCTCCCTCTCCCTCATCCTCTTCCCCCTCATCATCTAGGTCCTCCTCCTCACCCTCATCAACACCCTCTTCCTCTATCTCAGACGCCTGCAACACAGAAGATCAGCTTCAAAATAATCGCATTAAAAAGAGATTTTTACACTTGAGTTAAACAGGTTGTGATACAGAAACTGTATAATTCTAAAAACAATCATGAAATCAATTGTCACTACCATGCTGGAAAATAATAGGTACTTCATCTGGGAAGAGTTGACCTTTTACTTTTTACACCCCACCCCCACTGGGCCTTATTCTCACCAAGTAGTATTGCAGTGGATTTGGCCAGATGTCGTCTTTAATCACTTCCCCCAACTCATCAGTGCCCGCATCAAGATGGTCACCAAACCAGCTGAAGAAAGATTCCTGCTCCTCGTGGCTCCGTTTACGTCCTTTGATTTGACTGTTCTTCTTTGTCAAATCCTGAAAAGAGAACTTTTCTTGTAAATAAAATATCATTTTTGAGTTACTATATAGGATTTAACAATGTTACTGAATAGCTCAGAGTGGAAAATAAGAAAGTGCACAGTCACATTAACAACTGCAACACAGAAAATTTAGAAACATTCATTGTATGTTAGTAATAGTGGAACTTTTTTTCACCAACATCATCAACACGACCAGAGATCAGTCCACTGTTATCTATTTACAAGCAGTAAAAAAACAAACTACTGTAAGTGGGAACATGGCCCACTTCCAAATCCATGACCTTGTCTTTTGTAATGAAAAATGTGTGATTACCTTTCCAGCTTTCCATTTTATTGGAGATGCCTTTGAGGATGGTTCTCCTGTGTCGTTCAGATGAAACTCTTTGTACAAAACATCATTCTCAAAGTATGGATTGCTAACATCAAAGTGCTGAAATTAAAAGAGGGAATTTCTTCACAGTCACACTCTTCACTTTAAAGTCATTGACAGCTTGCATAAGAGTTTAAGGCACCATTTCAGGAATAATTCAAGTCATAAAAATGATCTACATTAGTAAAGTTACAAACATAAAGATATTTGCAGTCCAACACCCAGACAAAGAAATATTGGAGTGCAAGTAACTCTGAGCTCAGCTGTTTGGAGAAACTATTATCATCACTTTAGGAGCACAACACATCTCATGAAATCCTTTGCCTCTGAATCTCTATTTACAAAATTAATCTATTTATTTATTTATAAAAATCTGAAGAAACTTCATTGCCTTAAAACTAATTCCATCTTAATACTGACATAAACAAACAGTGGCAACAATAACATATAAAGAGACATCAGTTACATCTTAGACTGCTGAGATGGCTTTATCTTGTCAACTATCAAAGTTTGGTGCCTTAACTAAGACTGAAACAATACATGGAACAGGGTCCAAGATTATGTAAAAAGAATAAAAATTACAGAAAAACTGGCTCAATATAGTCACTTGTTCTGTTTTAAATTGCCTCAGGAAAAGACTAAGAGGTACTCCCATCAAATGCAGAAATGCCAGGCTCACCCCAGAAAAATTTAATTTGCCAACTACTTTAAAATTTAAGACATTCGAAGAAGTCTGACAAAAGTATACCTATTACAATTTACTTTGTCAACTTTATACTTATTCAAGGAGAATCATGTTACTGGACATGCACTAAAAATTCAAAGGGAATTTTCTCAGAAAAGATTACCATACGATTTTGTAATAAAAAAAATGTCTTACAAAATTGATCCTGTAACCGGACTTGATATCTTCAAACTCCTGTACTTCCACCTTTGTTAAACTCTGTAGCGCCTCCTCGTCTTCTTCGCTGAGTAGTGCTGACACTTGAGGGTGATTGACAAACTGACCAGTTAAGGACAAAAAACCACCAGTGGTCTACAAACTTTTCAAGTATTTTTTTCACTTCACACTGATTATTTATTATAAACTAAAAAGAAATGCTTAAAGGAAAAACAGATTATAGTAACTTGGAACAAGAGTGAGATTTTAGATAACATATTAGCAGCCAAGGGTTTCTTTAATAGTATTCTTTTAAGAATGAGTACAGTTGTAAATCCTAGTACAAGACAAAGACATACTTGAATAAATTTTCAGGAGTAGAAAAAAATTAAATTTAAGATAAACGTTTTCAACCAAGGCAGTACTAGTTTGGTGACAACTATATTTAAAAATAATCATTAAAATGGTCCCATAAGATATTTTATTTCCAATTTTAATCTACTTAATCTACTTGCATGACCTTTTTATTTACACTCACTTCTCATGATTGTTTTATTTTGACTTAATACAATGAAAGGATACTGCTGTTACCCAGAAGTTAGGTATTTTAGCAATAAGGTCGGACCTCTTGGAATAGTGCGGCTGCCTTAGTTTATTGTACTTTTGTTCCACCTTGAGAATCTCTACGCTGGCCTGCTCATTTAGTCGGTCAATTTCATTCTGTACCTCATCTATCTGTTCTATTGCTTCTTGTTGCTCTTTGTCTGAAAAATATTCAAGTATCCAATAAAATCACATTCACATGAAGAACATCAGTAAATGCAAATATAAATAATTATGGATTTCAGTGGCATGCTTCAAGAGACCTTAAGTCTATTTTGGAGCTAAAAGTGTAGGCTACCATGCAAAGCCAACTAAGTCTATTTCACAAAGAATCCATCAGCTGGATTAATTAATTTTTTCCTCATTATAACTATACAAACTTCAAATGTTCTGACAAAGGTTTTTACTCTGAGTAATGACAGTTGTATGCCAGGGACATTAATTGTTGGACAAACACTTTGAAAAGCTCTTAGACCAGTCATGCAAAGTTGAGTTTACATAGTCAGCTATCTGGTTCTAGCAGTCTAAGGTTAACTCAAGAACTTGAGACTTTTGAGAAACAGGCCCCAAGGCCAGTTGAGCTCATACCAGATTATGAATATGGCAGATCATTTCTGACATTAATTATGAAGAAGTGTGTGGTGACAGTTTGGAGCCGACTGAAATAAGAGGACATCTGATAAAAGCAAAAGCCCATTGCCCATGGTGAAAATGCCCATTCATATCTGGACTGTGGCACATAGGAAACAGCCTGAACATAAACTCTGTGGACAATTTTCAAAGGTGAGAATTTTTCATGTTTTAACCTAGATGCAGAGTATACAGCCTTATTATAATATATATACAAGTGACTGTTACAGATAAGTATGTACAATGAAAAGAAACAGCCTTACTGCAGTGAACATTTATGACATGTAATGTACATTTATGACAAGGTAAAAACCAATAGGATGCATTAGATTTGATATCAAATTTCCACAAATTAACCAGCTATGATAAGGAGAAACACACTGAAAGCAAAACAATTGTCAAATTATACACTTTGCACTGCAGTGTGTATCCAATGTTCTCAACAAATAGACAAAGCAGGAAAAAATGAATATAAAAACTTATGGACACAAGTGAGATTTCTTTAAAATAAGTAGGAACATGCTTAAGTGCTTTTCTGTTGTCAACATGATTTCAAAACATTGATGCTTTCAGTGAACTATAATCTATCAATGGGTATGGAAGGAAAGGAATGTGATAACGACATGGAAACTCAAGTTTAGGAGGGAAAAAAGTTCCTCTGACTAGCAAACTACCCTCAATCAATGAATCACTGTCATTCTAATTTATATGCTAAATCGGACAGGAGAGAGATTCTATTATTTAATACTAATAAATCACTATTTCTGGAAGTTTTAAGTAGAATTTCTGATTTCTGATCACTCTTAGCGTCTTAATACAGCGTTCTCTGTGTCTAAGCACGAAAAATGGTACTTTCGATACTTCGTCTACGAACAAAGCATGCGAGAAACACATGGCATTCGGAACAAAGTGTCAGAGTACACAATGACATCGAATGCAATTTTAACGTCCCTTTCATAGTCCGTTTTCTTCATTAATCTACATGCAAGGTCTTAAAAGGCGGGGGATTTCCCCAAAAATACTCACCTGCTGCCTCATCGGCATTTTCGTGGTTATTTTTGCCCTCAGGTTTGCTGACTTTAGCCGGTGTCGCCATGTTTTCACGAGGAGCGGTGTAAATAAATGCGCATGCGTAGGCTTGGTTAACCTCGAAATGAAGTTGAAGAGGTGAAGGTCGCTGAGAAGTTCACACAAAGAAGTTGAAAGACTAATAATCCTTAGAACAGTAGGACACATAAAAAGGCAATGTTAAATCAAACAGGAAAAAAAAGAGAAAAGAAATCACATATATGTCCGTGAAAATTCTAGCAAATCTCTCTATGTAATATCCAACAGGATTACACTTGAGAGAAAGTTTATAGGTCATTTTTTGCATTGTATAACATTCCTTACCGAATGAATAAATTATAGAATTAACAATGCTGGCAATGATAAATTGTCATAAAACCATACAAACAAATGGTCTAATAATAATATATTGAAATGAAAGAGAAATAAAAAACATAGCATCGAAAATATTTTTCTTAAAGTGTCAAAGTCAATAATGTGCCAAATACATGTACTGAGTATACTCTACCATGCAGTACACGTGTCGGTTAAATTAAATACAATCAACTGCACCTACTAGGTATACCTACTACAGCTATGTACAGAGATGCTTGCAGAGATTTTAATGCCATGATTACACTGTAATAACGGTGTGATAAGACCTTTCAATCGTCGTTGGTCCGGCTAGTTTACCCGCTGAAACATGCGTTTAAAGTTGCGATGAAAAGTTTAGTTTCACCATGAAGCAAATTGCGAGAAAAGATACTAAAAGATACTGGGTATATAGATTTATATAACATAAGCCTAGTGAAGGATATGGCTACGAGGAAACGAGGAGCGTTAATTTTTTTTCCAAGAACGAGTTATGTAAGGGTCAATTCAAAAGTTTACATTCCGTACACTGCCCTGCAAAGTACATTTTTTAAAGATGGCTGCACATTGCATGAGATTCACGAACTTCTCAACTTTTATCTTGTCGTAATCTTTGAAAAATTCTGATATTATTATTATTATTTTAAAGCTATAAACAGTACAGGATCCTTGTCATTTTTTATCGTTCCTCGCCATTACCTGACCCACATCAATCGCCGCTTATAATGTCATCTTTTTAAGAAAAAGTATATCTATGAAAGATTCCACTAGAGCCGGCCTTCATCGTTATCATACCGCAGGTATGTACACCTGTATACACTGTAGGCCTACTAGTAATGGATTACTTTTCATAACCCAGCGCAATGCAGTCTTGCCGCACTTCCCGCTTTAACTCATTTAGAGCTCAATGAATGGCTGAATGAAATAAGATATGTCAACTGACAACGTCAGTCGAATTCCGATATATCTCATTTCATTTTGCAGTTTTATAACCTCCATTCAAAATGTCTAACCCACAACAGTCGAGCATTGTGAAAAGTCAGTATTTAGAGCGTGGGGTCCGTAAAGTCAGCGAAAAGAGGACCCTTGTTCACACCACTCGCAGATGATCAAAATTTGTGGAGTGCTTCGATCAACCGATGCGACAAGAGCTACCTGAGTTTAAAACAGTCCTAGTGAAATATAAAGGATATTTCTCCACTTACGGCCTACATTGGGCAAAAATCGCCAAAGAAAGGATGAAAAAACTCGCAAAGAGATTTCAGAGACGGTGGTTATAAAACGTGATGCAACTTAACCTTGTCGCCACAGATAAACAAGATATAGAAGTATTAGTAGCATTCACTAATCTTGGAGTTATCGCACCGTCCTTGCTAACGACCTGTTATATATCTGTTAATTCGAACTGTTGATGGTTTCACGTGTCAGGGTGGCTGACTGAGAAGTTTAAATCAACAAAGTGAAGTTTACAGGTGATCATATGATGTCCCGATGTGAGGAGCCACTCAGAGGAGGCAAGAACGCCGAGGAGTACATAAGTGTCGATTGTCAGATGGCAGACGCTGATGAAATAATCGCTGAACAAGAACCAAGCGCTGATCAGCGTGAAGGTTCTAATGATGAGGAGCTGATTTATAAAATCTACGAAAGCCCTCCGGCTGTTTCCGTGATTTTTTTCGGCTTGCAGGTTTGTTCAGGTGTCTTTTTATCTTGTGAGAAGCGTCTGATAACCAACATATTTCCATGTTGACGGAGACGATAAGGTAGAATAGCTGTGACGATACACCGCGAGTGGTCTTACACTCATCATGTTTTTTACTCCCGTTTTTACTCTTAGAAAAAAAATTAAATTTTATTATTACGTTATGGTTGTAAATCATTCTCATACAGCTCTGCGACGAATTTGAAGCGCTGCCGTCAAGAACTCTTATTATATTAGTAGTAGTAGTAGTGGCGGTAGTAGTAGTAGCCTTTTGAATACCTAAGAACTGATACCATGTAGATAAATAAATGCATCTGATAATGCACATGCCATCAAAATTTTAGCCCGAGATCCTTACAAAAAAGCATACCCGAAACTATTTGAAGGCAAACCATCCCAAGATATTCGTTAAATGGAAAAAGCACTTTATGTAAACATGCCAGTGTTTATGACCCTGTAACAGATAGCCTTTTGCAATTCTTTTTCAAGCAAGCCATATTATGTGTCGCTGGCACCATGTCTCTGCCACTGACGTTGACCAGTCTTCTGTGTGAGGAGAACAACATTAACCTCCAGGCGGAGCTGCAGTGCAACGCTATGTTTGTGTCGGGGATCGTCACGCTGATCCAGTGTACAGTGGGAAGCAGGTAAAGGGATATCTTTATAATTAATAATGCGCGCTATTAGAGCTTTATTGGACCTATTGTAAAAAAGAAAAGATGTTTTGAAAATTTCAGCAATTTCCCCTTGGGCAAACCCTTTCCAAAACCGCTAAGGAAATTTCGATGTAAATACCTCTGTATTTCTATTTCTTAGCGTTACGAGTGTTATTCACAGGCTTTTGCCTTATTATTAGAGTGGCGCAAGAAATAGATAGTCTAGAAAATCAGAACTCAGAAACTGCTTTATAGGCCGTAGAATTGTGAAAGGTTTTGGTTATTTTGTAAATTGGTGATTTAAGTATATAGTATACATAGTAGAAATGTCCGAAAAATTATTTTTTTATAAAGAATGGTTGAATACTTATTGAGTGAAATTTACATAAGGAAAGATTAAACTTCATTAAGAAAGATAACATAAAAATGGATTTGATTAATTCTTATTGCCACCGGAGATGGCTGCCATTTCAACCCTCAAACTACAAAAATGTCAATAAGTAAAAACATTTGTTGACCGTTTAAGGCTACCGAGTATACAGGGAGGAAGCAAGGCGTTTCTGGCACCCATGATAGCTTTGCTCTCCATAGAGCAGTTCAAATGTGCTTCCGATCTAAACCAATATGCAGGCCAAACAGGTAAATAATACTCCTCAAATACTATTATAGAGCAACAATACGGATTGAAATATTGAAAAACGTTTTATGATTAATGTTTTTCTTTTCTTTTTCTTTTTGAAAAATTTAGTTTTGAAATGTATCATGGAGATGATGACTATGACATGTATATAGATACAGGGAAAAGGTTTCGTGCTGGGTCTCCTTTTCGTCGGCATGCCCTTTCTGCTGCCCTTTGGTGGCTATATAGAGAGATGATTTTGATTTACAAGCTCCAAGTGTTATAAAATCTTTCCTCAATGCAATAATTCCGAATACTCTCAATATTGCAATATTGCAGATGCAGTGAATTCAAGTTTAGACTTAAACACGACGGCCGTCGGTGTCATAACGTGGCACGAGCGCCTCAATGTTGTGCAGGGAAGCCTCATCACTGCGTCCTTAGCTCAGGTACTGCTTGGGTGCACAGGTAGGAACAATGTCAATAATCAAATTTTTTTAAATTAGGTTGTACACAACGTATATTCGATGACTGTTATGTATGCAGTTCTTTTTCTCAAGGTTTTTTTCCTGATTAGGAACACCGATCGACTGAAAATTTTATTTTACCTCCTTTCATTGATTAAAGTTACCGTAACAGAAAATGAATCAGTTTCCGTACTAAGTTTGCCACTACTTAAGTGTCTGTATATACGTCGGGTCTAGTGTGTTTTTCCTCCTTTTTGTTTTCTATGCATTTCAGGTGCCATTGGTTTCATGTTGCACTTCATAGGACCTTTGACTATTGCGCCAAGCATCATCATGATTGGGCTGTCGGTGTATGAAATTATAGCAAAACTGGCACAGCCACACTGGGGACTATGGGCCTTGTAAGTATAGGTGGTGTCTGAGCAATCTTATTTAGTCGTACACGTTTCCTTACAGATAAAATATATACAGCAAAAATTCTACTTATTATTAACATAAAAAGAGGATGACAGCGGGCAATCAAACAAAAAAGAAAAAAAAAGAAAAGAAAGCTTGAGTTGGCAATCTGCTCGCTGATATGTTTAATAAACATTGATTTATTTCTGTATTGACCATAAAATATCGCAACTTTCAGGACTTGCGCCATTGTAATCATATGCGGAGTATTCCTCGAGAAAGTGGAAGTACCTTTTGTTTGGTGGAACAAGAAACGCGGATTTCATAAAGTCAGCTGCAAACTCTTCGTCTTGTTTCCGGTAATGTAATGGGGATAACATTAACTTACCATATAGCCTCGGGCCAAGTTTGAATGAAGACATTTTATACTTAAAATTGAATCCGATTTTCTTGCATAGACGCACACACGCCCGCACGCACATAATTTCAAACATACCTTGTAATGTTAACTAACAAAAAACATTTAGCACATGTTCTTGAAGCCAGTATGTAATTTTGGTACACATAAATTTCATAAATTCTAAAAGAAACTCTGACTGCCTTTAATTAAGTCGGATATATTTTTGTTACACGGAGACGTCTTCAATTTGTGTCAGAAATATAAATAGCACTGGAAGATCCAGAATAAAAGGTGGCAAAAGGATGAAAATTGCTGAAAGATGTTAGAAAAATCAAACCTATACAGAAAATTCCTAGCATTTAATGTATGGCACATGGATAAAATTGCCTGATTCTGTATTGTTTCATTCGCTATACTGTGTTAAAAAATTAAGGGGGAGGACAAAAAGAGTATCTCCGAAACTAAGGGAAGGGCACATCTTCACTCTTTCCACCTTTGTATAGAAATATATATAATTTTGGGGGTACTAATTTTCCTCAGGTCCTATTTGGAGTTATCATAGCCTGGTCGGTGAGCGGCATCATGACAGCTGCCCATGTCCTACCCGAGGGAGCCGACACCCCAAGTTTTAAGGCACGGGCTGACTTTGGCATTGGCTCGGTACGGAATGCCAAGTGGTTTTTTGTTCCTTACCCAGGTGCGTTGAAACAATCAACAACATCAATTACAACAACAACAACAACAACACACCTGTGACGTAGATTGATATATTAGCTAAGTTATGTGCTGTAAATTCGTTAGTCTAATTGTTGTCGGGTAAATGATCAAATCTTAATATGAAAAGTTTCTGGGCTGCATAAAATCATCACTAAAATTTTTTGCTTTAAACTATGGCGGGAGGATACGTTGAGTGACCATTAGGACCATTAAAATATAATTGTCACTTTGATATGTCTTAGCTAAGACGGTATGGGTTGGCTAATGTGGTATTGGATGGAAAATATAACATCTGAATATTTGCCACATTGTATTTTAATAAGTCGTTATTGGTTGCCCACTTAGGCTTTTGGCAAAATATTTGAAATTTGAACATTTGCCTTTATAGCCACAGTTCGGTTTGGGCTACCACTTTTGACTCAAGGTGAGATACTTGAAATTTAAATAAGTGAAATCTAAAAATTTACCACCTTGTATTCCTTAGGTCGGTATGGGCTGCCTACAGTGGCATTAGGAGGAATATTAGGGATGCTCCTTGCCACCCTTTCGTCAGTGGTTGATACCTTGGGAGACTACTATGTTGCGGCTAGAATGTGTGAGATCCCGCCCCCTCCAAGCCACGCCGTCAACCGGGGAATATTGGTGGAAGGACTGGGCAGCGTTCTTGGGGGTTCCATCGGCATTGGTCATGGTACGACGGTTTATAGTGGATGCATTGGCTTCATTGGAATAACAAAGGTAGTGGGAGTAACTTAGAAAAAAATGACCACGTAAATACAGAGTTGTGTTATATATATGTAATGTAACGAGGAGATACCTAAAAGAACACAATACGTATATCAACAGATATGGAATCAAATCAAGCAACACACTGTTTTAATCAAAGCAACAATCCTTTGATATCGTTTTCAGTGTGGCTTCAGTCAATAAGAATACTATGTACTATGTCTTATGAATAAACAAGATCAACTCCGAAAACTCTGGATAAACTTTTCAGAATTATTGCTATCTTTCTACTGTGACTGTGATATTGTTTTGTTAATTATTATTCAGGTGTTTTAAAGATATGTCTTGTTATTTATTTATTTATTTATTTATTTATTTATTTATATGTATTTGTCCTCAGGTGGCCAGTATAAGAGTGTTCCAGGCGGCAGGTGTAATAATGATCATTATGGGGCTATGTGGCAAATTTGGTGCCCTCTTGGCGGCCATTCCTACTCCGATACAAGCTGGGGTCATGACTATTGGTAAGTGATCATATGAGTATTTAACTGTTATTTTATTATTTTTTTCTCTCTTATCTGTATCGCTGTTTTTTTTATGATGGACATTTGAAAAAGTATTTAGGCCGGAGCAAATTTGTTGTTACCAATTTACAATTTTGAGAAGAACAAGGTATCAAATATTTTGTCATGACAACGATAGAATATAGAAGAATTATCAGACCGAAATATACACCATTTGGTTGGGATACAACATTATAAAATACGGCAACATTTAATACGGAGGGTTATGTTGTTATGTTGCGTGTTTGTATAACTTTGCCAGTTTGTTTTAGGGTTAGGGGTGGTGATTTCAGTGGGCATTTCCAATGTGAAGCACGTCCATCTCTCCACAAGAAACGTGTCCATCCTCGGGAACTCGATCCTTATGGGATTCGTGGTATCGGAATGGGTGAAAAAACACACTGATGCAATTGACACCGGTGAGTATAGGACTTTTCTTGATTTTTGTTTGCTTGAGTATTCATTGTGATTCATTGGATTCATTGTGTTGTATCCCAGATTGCCTTTTAAAACAGTTTTAAGTTTTAAATCGTTTGCCTGCTAAGAGCATTGAGAAAAGAGATTAGGGGCTTTTAGTTTAGGTTATGCAGATATGCAGTCAAAAAGGCGATATATATATTTTTGCATAATGGGAGCCTTATATTTTCGTACAGCAAATGCACTTTTCTGATGTTTTACTCTCGAGGTTTTTCCCCCAATATGTGTTTTCTGGCGTTATTTTTCATCATATTGATACTCTAGCGCTACTCGATATATGTCAACAGTTATGCCAACAGCGACCTCTGGTGAAAAGGTGTAAAACAGTATCCAATTTATAGTAACAAATGCCCTTTTTACTTATGGCAGGAAGCCCAGAAGTCGACCAGATGTTGATTGTCCTCTGTACAACGCCAATGTTTCTCTGTGGAGTGCTGGCGTTCATTCTAGATAACACAGTGCCAGGTAAGTCAAACCAGCCCGTGTTGTACCCAAATGCTGTAGCCTGTAAGGTTTGCGTTCGTTATTCACATCGAGGATCTTTGATTTAATTTAAAGAATTGAGTCAAGTCAATTTGATAGACCGAGGATAAGAAGAGAAATCTTGCTCAAGTAAAAGTACTCTGTCTGTTTTCATTTTAATGACATATCTTAAAAGATATATACATATAGACTACCAGAAGGTATCTGTGCCCGTGTTATTTGGTAAAGGAGTAGTTCTGATGTACAAAGTGATTGACCTAGTATGTTTTTTCTTCTTTCATTATATATATTTATATATATATTGAAAAAATGACTGCCTATCATGAATAAGAAACATTCGAAACAGCTTTTCACAGGCGTCGTATACTGTAGGCTATAGAGTTTAGTACAAGTATAGACAAGGTGCAATATTATATGCATTACAAAGATAAAATAATTTAATTTAAATATTTCAGGGACTCTAGAAGAGCGCGGCATACTTAGCATGCGAGCAGAATTGACCACGAATTCCACAGCAGGGTCACAGGGCGCCCACATTTGTGAACTGGAGAGCTACAGACCCTACAACATTCCTTATCTGACCCCCTGGCTGCAGAAATATAGCTGGTCTAGATTCATACCGTTCCTTCCTACTTTTAAAGAATCGTCCTTAAAATGTCGAATTAATTGTTGTGAAAAAGCCAAAAGGTGTTTCAAACCGAGCTGCCGGGTTGTGTAGGCGAATATTGAATATTATGCATGAATATGTTGTTGTGGTTGCACAATTTGACAGCAAGAAGCTGACTGCACGACCAGTTTTTCAAAACTGTTGCAGGAAATATCCGATTGAATCTTACTATGAACTGCAACCTTGCGTTTCTGTATCCATGTATAAGGAGTGTCTCCAGGGAAAATTTTTTTGGTTTCGAAACGGTTTATGCGCTCGAAATATTATAAGAGTTATTTAGCATAAATGTCAGAATAAATCAACTGTAAATTGACTAAAGACATTTGAGTTACAGACACAAAGAAATGTTACTGAGGACTCCCATGGTTATGAATTCTGCCCCACAACTGGCCGATCGGTGAATGAAAGGGTGTTAGATGCAGTAGTTGCTTTGCACTAAGCACAAAATATAAGCGATAATTTTTAACATCTGTAAGGTATATACCGGTACTATAGTTTTTATTAAGGATAAGGGCGTCTCTAGGTTAAACATACTCAATACATTTATTTAATAATAATAATAATAATAATAATAATAATAATAATAATGATACAGTGTACTTAACATGTAAACTTGTATGAAATGTCACTAGTACAAATATGGCTCTGACGATGAATGACTATTTTGCAATGGATACTAATCATTTCAGTTTCCGACATTTTAAGTGCTGATTATAATGCCAACCTGCAAATGAAGATTTGAATAAAATACAGTATGGATTGTACCCCCCATTTATTTGATTTTCCTATACCAACACCGACAAACACTAGATCCTAAAAAAAATAAAATATTAACTGGAGACGCGTACGTGACACGGGTTAACCATTTAAAGAAAATTAATTAAAATGTAGACTAATATAGAAAAAGGCGTCTTTAAAAAATTTTAGCAAGTATTTTCAGGGAAGGGCTATTTTCAAAATCTTCTTTTCTTTTGTCTTTGAAACAAGTGCAGGTAAATGGGAAGTGGGGGTGGTGGTAAGGGTGATGAGGGGGGGAAAGGGGGGTTACAGGCACTCCCTATATCCAGGCGTCATCTTCGGAGGGCTGGGATTTCTCGTATCAGTATCTGTGCACCATTAACTGATATCATTCCAAAACGTCTGATTGAATTCAGATTTTAGTGTAATTTTAGAGTATTAAGAAAAAGGCATTGAGGCACATGTATACCCATAGTTGTCATAATTACTAACAGGTGGCGCACTGATCACCTGCATGTCAGGTTCAAGGTACAACTTTTCTTAGAGTCGATTTATTTGGTTAGTGAATGATTATGTTACAGTGACAATAATGACGATCTGGCTGGAGCTTTCAAACGTTTATTCACCGACTCTCTTTTTCGTACAATGTCACAAGTATTTATACTCTATTTCTCCGTACTGATCATGCATTTACTTGTTTTCTTTCCATTGTCTTTGCGTGATTACAAGGAATTTTCCATTCTCATGTTGCAAACCACCATTCAACATTTCTTAATTGGGTAATTTCTAAGAGACTTGTTTTCAATTAAAAAAATTAAAAATATGATTTGAATTACTCATTCTTGGACCTTATCTATCTTTAGTTTGCATGTGTTTTACACGTGTCCGAAACTTCCAAATTTATTGTGGAATCAACCAATCAAATCGAACCATATGTGACTTTGACATGTTCTATCTTTTCCTACCACAAAAACAATTTCTACACTTGTTGACTCTTAAAGAAATTTAACTTATACTCAATAGCTCCCCATCCTTTTACTCGTTTGATTCCGTTTTAATTATTATCTGTAATTAGTGAAAGTGTAAGTCATTTGCTTTACAACATTTGCTTTACACCTTGCTCCATAATATATATAAATACAACAGTGCTACAAAAATAATTTTAAAAAATCAATATATTCGTCAGCGGTAGAAAATCACAATGCTCTCTTTATCATTCTTCAATAGATTTATCGACACTTGGCTTTGTGAATTACGTAATGAGTACCGTGGCATTTCGAAACAGGTAAACTATAATTTTTAGCTCACGATCTGATATATAAATGTCACCTCTAGAGCAGAAAGGAAGGAGTACCGAAGTTCCGTGTGGGAAAGACATCGCTCTTGCTGTTCCGACTACACTGTGCAGGTAATGTCCATGTTTAGTGTGATTCATGCCATTTCGTTAAATATTGTTAATTGACCAAGTTATTTTGTTGTGCTTTGTTTACCTCTTGTATACGTGTAAGAAAACACTTGAGCATGTTTTTTTTTCTTTTCTTTTTGTTTGTTCCCTGTTTGTCGTGTGGTTATCTAAATTTAATTTCAAGTTTCAGTTTCAATTTAATTTTTTTAATTTCTTTTGAAGTATTAGGTTTCCACGTTGTTGTGACAACAAGAGAACGAAGATGAAAAGGAAAATCAGGATAAACTATCGTTTCGCAATGGAAACATTTTTCTTTTCTGTTTCATATTCTTTTGCATATGAACATTGTATGATGTGTTCCCATAAAGCTTATCTATGGCTTTTATAACTTTACATATATATTCCTCAAAAGGTCTTTAATCTTTAACTGCCTTCGGGAAGATTTTAGGAAAACCGTACTATATCATCAAGACAAATGATATGATAATTAATAACAAAGTGGTAACAGTACATCAAATACTAGTAATACTCTCATATAACATTGAACAATTTTGAAGAACTGACAAATATTCCGCTCTTGCTGAATATTGCACTTTTGACCCTCAAATCGAAAATCAAAATGCTGTGTATTTTAACATTTTAAAACTATTACCGTGTAAAACACTTTTCTTGTCTCTTTCACGCGGCCATCATTAACTTTATTCTCACCACCATGATAGAAAATTAATTTTTGCAGCTATTGATTCCGTTCTTTGAAAATCATGGATGCACATGCATCGGGCTACGAGAAACATTTCTGTGTAAATTGAAAAAAAAAA